GAGCCGCGGGGGAGGGGCGGGGGCGGGAGCCCATCCTCTGCCCGTGCCCACTCTCGTCGCGCCCCGCCCCGGTCCTTCCTCCAGGAAACTAAGGCCGCGGGGTCGGGGACGGCCCAAGGTCACGTGTCTCCAGTCCTTGGAGACCCGATGAAGCCTAGTCTCAGACGGGGAAACTGAGGCCCGCGAGGCAGAAGGACGTTCCCAAGGTCACAGAGCCCAGCCACGGGGCTGGGGCCTCTGCGCGCGACCTTGACAAGGGGCCTTCTGCTGGCGCTTCGGGTTTGCCTCTGTCCAGAGGGCACAGCAGGGCGGTCACAGCTGATGCTGGGGCTCAGAGAAGGGGGGCCGCCCCCATGCCAGCCTCTATCCTTTCTATATGTTTGAGAATTTCCATGATAAAAGGCCACAAGAGCCCTTGCTTTGTCCCTTGAGGCCCTGTACAAAGACCCTTAGGAACTTGTGGTCTGGGGCAAAGTGGGGTCAAGGCCAAGAGTCTCTACGTCCCACAGTGGCCCCCTCGCCCCCACCTCCTGCATATGAGGAACTGAGGCCCAATGGGCTAGATGAGGCCAATAGGAAGAAACACTCAGGACTACTGTGATCCCTACCCTCAAACAGTGCCCTATGGCACAGTGGGGGCTGGGATCTCCCACACGGCTGGTGGGCTTTAAAGTGGGGAAGTGCCCGGGAACACAGGGAGACCCAGGGTCCGCCACCCCTTCCTACTGATGCCCCCATGTGAGCCCCTCCTGCTGCCCCATTTCTTTCCCCCTTGGGCTCAGGCCCCAGCCGGCCCCCAGCCCCGAGGCCCCCAGCTCTGCCTCTGGGGCTGGAGCCAGGCTGGTGTCAGGTGACATGGGGGCACAGACCTAGGCCTCTGTTCTTGGCCTCCAGTCTCCACCCCAGCTCAACCAGGGGGTGGGGGAGGTGTCATGAGAGAAGGCTAGGGTGATGGAGAGACAGAGACCTACACAAAGGAGAGACAGGAGGAGAGATAAGGAAGGGCCTAGAGAAACAGGGGAGGGATGGAGGAACACCCCGGCCTCCAGGGACCCTCCAGCCTTCTTAGCACTTTCAGGCCTGATGTCTCAGGATGTCAGGCCCATGAGGGCAGAGATGTCCCTGTAGACAGTAAGAACTCAACAGTGGCTGAGGAATGGGCCTCTGTGGACAAGGGGTGGGCCGAGCTGGACCATCTTGAGCCCCCTCCAGGTTGTCCTGAGACCTGGGGATCTCTGGGCCCCCCACCCGCAGGGTCCAGCTCCCTGGGGCCACCTCTGCCGAGCTCTTGGCCAGACCCTGCCCGACACTCAGCCAGATGGGTGGACAGGCAGGGCTGCTGTCTGTCCCAAGGCTGGGAGGGCAGCAGAGGTGGTAGTGCCAGGCTGTGGCCTGCCCCAGGCAGATGTGTGTTCCAGCTGAAGGGGAATCTTTTATGCTTGCCCTGGGGAGATGTCAGTCTGGGCAGACGGCCAGAGCCCTGGGGCTCTCGGCTGAGCGCGGGGAGCAGGCGGGCCCACAGCCTGGCCTGAGGACCCACCACGCCTGGCCATGGGGGAGTCAGAAGAGCCACAGAGCACTAGGGGGTCCCAGCCTGTCTCCTGAAGACTGCTTCCCAGCCCACAGGTTCTGCCCTGGACCAGGCCGGTACCAGCCTCCCCTATCTCTTCCACCCACTCTCACCACTTGGCCCAGGCCAGAGCTTTCTTTGCATTCATTCACTCATTCATTCATTCAATACTTATTGAGCAACTGATCAGGGGCTGGGATTCAGAAGTGAACCTAACAGGCCACCCTAACCCTGGTGTGGTGACAGGCAAGCAGAAGAAACAGCACAGGAGATATAACATTTACTGGACATCGTATTGTCTGCTAGAAAGTGGTGAGTGCTACCCAGTTCAGAGCCAGGAAGGGGGATAAGAAGTTGCCAAGGGTGATGTCTGAATCCTCGCAGAGCAGGTGTGTCCACATCCAGGCCTGGGCAGGGGGTTTGTGCTACGTGGACATCTGTGAGAGGGAAGAGCATCCAGCAGGCATGGGCTGTGCAAAGGTCCTGGTGCAGGACAGTGCCTGGCTTGTGTGAGAAAAAGGGATACTAAGGACATGGGGGTGGGTTTTGGAGATGAGAACGCGGAGATGGCAGGGTGGGACTAGACTGTGCAGACACATATGAAACTGGAAGTCAGTGCACAATGGTCTGTCACCCTAGACTGCCAGACTCCCGGTGCCTTTGGCAGGAAACCAGTCCCTCCCCACACAGTTTGCCCCTTTGCCCCTCACTCTTTCTCTCCGGCACTGGATGACTTGGCACACAGGCCTCCAGCCCACTGAGTCTCCAACAGGCCAAGCTCGTCAGGCCCTGAGGAGCCTGTCCTGCCCCCATCCACCCCTCCATAGCCTCAACTGTAAGCCTGCACTTCCTGCTCAGCTGGAGCAGGTCCATTTCAGAAGCCCTGGAGCCCAGTCTGGGGACCCTCTGAGTGAGAAACAGTCTAAGACCAGGAAGACAAAACTAGACCAGGGCAGGCCACGGACCAGAGGGGGCCCCAGAGCTTAAGCTTCGAGAGCTGCCTGGAAAACCCACCAAATCACTCAAGAATACTGTCTTGTCAGCCTCGTGTGACAGGATTGGGGGCCCACAGATGCCACTGGTTTAGAGATGGGGGTGACACCGTCCAGGGCTGAGCTGCCCACACAAATGCTACTGTGCTGGGCAGAGCCCTGGTGTCCAGCCCCCACTAACGAGCGACCTTAGGCAGAGCGTCCCTCCTCCCGGCCTCAGTCTCCCCGGCATCTGCAAAATGCTGGCGGGGCCTGCAGTTCTGCTGACCCAGGACTCACCTGAATTTCCTTTCCCTGTGGGGCTCACTCTCCCCCTGGGCCCCTGTTCAGGGCAGGGAGGGCATCGGAGGACCAGAATCTGGTGCCCCCCGGCTCATTCCTTTTCAGCTCTGCCCTCTGCTGCCAGGTCAGACTCCCAAATCCCTGTCTTGCTGTCAACTACTGTGGAACCTTGGGGGTGCCCCCAGCATACAGCAGAGGTGCTTTCAGCATCACGGCAGCAGAGTAGGGGAAGACGAGGCTCAGGCTTAGGGAGGCCCCCACCACAGACCTGCCCTCACAGGGCTCTCAGTCCAGGGGGCAGTGTGCCACAGAAGTGGGGCAGCCCAGCCTGAGGGCCCAGAGAAGAGGGTGGGACCTTCCCAAGCAGTCCCAGGAATGCAGGCTTGTTCCAGCCCTGCCCTCTGCCTCAGCGGGCTGGGTCCCAAAGACGGACCCCCATTCCTGACCCTCTAAGCATTTGCCAAAGATGATCTCACTGGAACCTGTGACTCCCTGCTGTGACTTTTCCATCCCACTCCTGGGGAAACCAAGGCAGGCTCCAGTGGGGTCCCCACTCCAGCAGCCCAGGGCGCATGCTGCCTGCACTCGTCGAGTGCTTGCTGAGAAAACTAACGGGAATACTTAGAACAGAGCCAGCTGCCAAGTGGCCCCATGTTTGCTAATCAGATTCCTCTAAGTGTGAGCAGGGTCCCTTTCTGGGGGCCCGGGCCGGTCAGCTGGTCTACGCCAGGAAACCACTTCTGTCCTGGAGCCCCAGGCGCTGCAGGGGTGCCTGGGACGCAGCAGGAACCAAGATGGGCAGAGCCTTGGCCTGGGCGGGTGACAGACCCCAAGCGAGAACGCCCACTCGTGCCCTCCAACGTGGAACCCGAACCCTGGCACCCGGCAGCATTCCCAGTGAGGGGTCAGCCTTGTCACCTCATCAGGGTTGGTTTCTCCCGTACTGGGCTGTCTACGCAGAATCCCCAGCCCCAGGCAGTCAGTGCCCCATTCCGCTGACCAGTGAGCAAACGGGGATGAACCAGAGGTTTAAGTGGTGGGTACCCGGGGCCAAGGGCCCAAGGCCAGGGTGTATCCAGCGAGGGGCACGCAGTACCAGGCAGGTGCGTCCCGTCCCAACACCCCTCGGTAAACACGCGCTCCCCCGACTCCTCGCGGGCCCCAGGTCCCGCTAAGGAGTGTGCGCGTTGCGCCCCCTGGTGGTAGCTGGAGGGCAGGGCCGGGCAGCCACGGGCCCCCAGCCCCGAGCCTGGGGTTTCTGGGACTGGCGCCCCCTTCCTGGGAAAGGCAGGCAGTTCCCCTCAGGGAATAGCATAAACAGGGAGTAGGGTCCTTTAAGGACCCCCTACTCTCCCCACAGATACTCGGTCAGCAAACAGAGCAGCCTGTTTCACCCCTGGGACCTGTGGGCTCTGCAGGGCAGGGGCCTTGTCCGTTCCATTCCAGAACCCATTGAGCCTGAAACTGGTGGCTGGTGGGCAAAGGGTGTCTTCAGTTTTTCTGGCACTGTATGTTGGACTTTTTTGTCAACATTGACAAATGCTGATTTCACATCTAAGCCCAGATTTCTGGCTCCTCTGGAGATGTAGGAAGAGCTGGCCCAACACTCCTGGAGACCCCTGCCACACCTTGCTCAGCAGTCAGCCTGAGACCCTCACCCAGACCTGCTGAAGGCCTGGCCTGTGTCCAGAGCGGGGACATGGGGTGACCACACCCCCTAGATGTGGGGACAGTGGCCCTAGATGAGCCCTTTCCCCTCTGGAAGTTGGTTTCCCCAGATGCACCACGTGGGAGGCCTAGGTGGTGCCTACAGGACTCCCAAAGCTTGGCCCTGCCTCCTGCGACCTCCTGCTTCCTGCCCTTAAACCCCACCCGTTTTGCTCCATTTATTGGGATGCAGGCCAGGCAAGCAGGTGACCCCCATCCTCAGTGAATTGGAGGGGCTGCCTTCTCCACCGTGGAGCTGCTCTTGGGGTCTCTGGGCCTCGGCCACACCCCTCCTCAGCTAGAGACCCAAGATGGGCATCCCCACAGCTGCCCCAGTGGCAGCTAACCCTTCTGGACAGAACTGTCTCCATCAGAGCGAGGCCCCTTGGATCTCCCAAGCTGCAGGGAGCATTCTGCCCAGGATGGGTGGGTGACAGGCAGCTGTGTGTGGGGACTGCCTGTCCCATCCTGGGGGCCCCATGGGAAGCATGCCCTGGCTTTGTCCAGGTCCTCTGAAGCCTGGAAGCAGGTTTAGAGAAAAGTGCTACTGCCTGGAGAACCAGCTGGTGACTCAACATCCTGACTCTCAGAGCTGCTGCCAGGCGCTCCCCCACTTCCTGCCTTCCCCGTCTATCCTGCCCCGTGCACCTCAGCCTCACTCTGGGCCTCGGAACCTTTCAGTGCTTGGCCCCTCCCACTGAACCTCCCGTAAGCGTTCTTGGTAAAACCCAGGCCGGGTGCAGACAGGAGACGGGAGAGGACAGGGGTCAGCCTTTATTGGTGAGCAGGAAGGTGGGGTGGGGGGTTCACACCCAGCTGAGGAGGAGGCCCATCACAGCAGCTCTGTCTCCGAGGTGGAAGGCCAGACCACCCACTTTCCACGTGGGTGGATGAGGGGGAGCAGTGAGGAAGATGCCCCCAAGGGTGGCCGTGTCGTCAGAGCCGTCCGGAGCCACAGCACAGACCTGCGGTGACCGACACGCTGGCTTCCTACAGCGGGTGCTTGGGCCTGCGCATGACCTGTGACCTTCCACCAAGGGCAGGGACTTGGCTCCAGCCCCAACATGGCCCAGCAGCCTCGGGAGAGGGACCTGGGGTGGGAAGCCCGTTCTTCCTCCACACCCCAACCAGTGACAGACTAGAAGACCCATGGCCCAGGGGACATGAGGGGAGGGGTGGTGGGGGCAGTGGAGGAACAGGCCAGGGGTCCAGTGAGGGCACAGGCAGGAGGCGGAGGATGGGCTGAGAGGACAGCAGAGGCCTTACAAACCTCATGGCTACCCTGGGGTACTCGTGAAATGTCTAAAAAAAGAAAAGCAAACCCCTAAAGGACAGAATTCTACACGTACAAACCCCAGCTTAGATTTTTTTAAAAAGGAAAGAAAACGTGTGATTTGAATGCACAACTTGGTTTGCTTTCGCAGGGTGGCTTTCCTTAAGAGGAAAGAGCAGGGGTTGTGCAAACACCGGGAAACTCGGGGCTCCTCCAGGCGGAGGCTGGGCGCCTGTGCAGACTGGTCCTCACAGCCTGTGGGGAGGGGGCGCTCAGACCTGCAGGCTGGCGGAACAGGATCCGCTCCCTCCCCTCCTCTCCCCTCCCCCTCACCTCAGCTGCCGTTCCTCTGGCGAACGTTCTTGCCTTTCTTGCCTTTGTCGTTCACGTGGTGCCCGCTGCTCTTCCTGCGGACAGGAGGGGCTCTGTGGCCTTAGGATGCACAGCGGCCCGCCCACCCACCCCCCAAAGACCCTGCCCAGGGGCATGCCTGCCTTGGTGAGGCCGGGACTTACAGTGGAGCAGAGCCGGTGTCGTCATCTGAACAGATGTACCGCCGCATGCAAGAGAGGAGAAAGGGCTGTCAGCAGTGATCCCTGCAGGGCGGCCCCTGTCCTGCCGGGCTCCGAGGGGAGCCAGCCACACTCCAGGCACACGCGCCCTCAAAAGAGTGGTCAGAGGCGGCTGTGTGAGGGGCACCTGGGAGCCCTGCCCGTGCCCACGACCCGCCCGCAGGCAGGCAGGCAGGCAGGCAGGCACCCCGCTCGGCCCCCGGGTGCCCCACCATCCAAGGTCTGGGCCTTACTCAGTGCCACAGCCCTGGGTCCCAAGCAGCCAGAGACAGGAGGGGGCACTCACCCTGGAGGACGCCCGCTGGCAGCCCAGTTGGGGAGGAGGGAGTCTGTGCAGGCGAGCAGACCCTTAGGCCCACACTCCTGGAAAGCGGCTCCGGCCCGGGGTCCCCCCACCCAGAAGGGGAGCAGAAGGTGTGTGAGACTGAGGCTCACCATCCAGGACCTCGTCCGGCTTCCGCCGCTTCTCGTAGATGAAGATGACAGTGACCAGCACAAGCACCTCCGCCACGATGCCCAGGAAGGGCCAGAGGGCGGCGAAGCGGTTGCGCACGCGCAGCGTGATGACTGCCTGGCCGGTGCCCTCCGTGTTGGTGCCGTTGCAGGCGTACTTGCCGGGGTCCGCCTCCAGGTCCAGGTTCGGGATGTGCAGCTCCGTCTTGGACTCCGAGGAGACCACGAAGAACTTGCTCTGGGAGCTGTTGGCGATGACCTGGGGGCAGGCAGACGTTGTGAGGGACAGAGGCGGGACCTGCATCCTCCCCCGCCGGTGCAGGCCTCACCTGGTCTCCAGAGTCGCTCATCTTGTACCACAGCCAGTCAGTGACGGGCGGGAAGGAGTCCGACTTGCAGCCCAGCACCACGGTCTCCCCCTCGGTGGCATGCTCCGACTTCTTCACAGCCTTGACGTTGGGGGGCCCTACCGGAGGGAGAAGAGCTGACTGGAGCCTGCCCTACCCACCGCGCACCGCCCTCCTCCGCGGTGGGGCCTGCGGATGCGCCCCTCCCGCCTTGCCCCGTGGCCCCCACCTTTTACTTCTAGGTTGGTCTGGCCTGCGTGCTCCGGGAGGAAGATGCAGGAGTACTGGCCCGAGCGGTCATCCAAGTCCACCCTGCAAGCAGACGTAGGGGGGAGGTGTGAGCCAGAAAGCAGGTCCATCCAGACCCCTGCAGTGAAGGGGGCGGCTCCACCAGGTCCTGCAGGGCCGGAGGCCATATCACCTGCTCCCCGTGAAGGTGGTACCAGGACGTGGAGGGGGGTGCCAGCAGGCTCACCCCACGTCCCTAGCCCTGCACCCGGCCACCATCCAAGCCTGAACAGCCTGCCCTGGGATTCCCGCCCCCAGAAAGGATGGAAGGGTCTTGGAGGTGGTGGAGTCTGGCAGCCACTGGATGCCTCCCTGGATGCCAGGCCTCTGAGCCTCCAAACCCCTGTCAGGGCATGCTTCTACCATCTGTCCAAAGCCAGCCCCCTGAATACAGCCTTCACTCTGGCTGACTAGAGGCTCTGCAGCCAGGACAGGTCTGGCCTCTGGCCTCACTCACTCATACTCCGTCCTCAGGCCAGGCAGTGTGTCCTCCTTCAGCACCTTGTCCCCCTTCACCCAGCGGTGGCCCACGATCTCAGTGGCGCTCTGATTCAAGGTGCAGGTGAGGCGTGTCTTGGAGCCAACATCGTCTATGGAAGTCCAGATCCTGCTCCCTGGGCAGCCAAAGAAGACATCAGAAAAGGGTCAGGGAAAAAAAGACCGAACCCAGTACCCCAAGTGGCCTGCCACTTGCCCCCAAGGCACAGCCAAGTGGCCCCAACTCCACAGCCTCCACAGTGGGAGAAGCCTTGGGCTGGTTTACAAAGCCAAGAACAGCACAGGGCTCCTGGACAGACCTCCCCTCAGGGCCCTTGGCCCTCGACTGGGACCTGCCTGACGCAGGGTTCTGCTGGGAACAGTCTTCACTGGCTGGGCCTCAGGTGTGGGAACAGGAGCAACGCCCACCCCGGTCCTGGAACAAGGACCGAGACAGCGGGGTCCAGCCCCACACAGGCCCGGAATGCCCTTTTAGAAACAGTCTATCAGCGCCCACCTCACCACTCCTCCTGTTGGTCTTGCCAGGCCACCCGAGGTGGTACGGGGGCTCCAGGTGGCCTGTCCTGGAGATGCCTGTTTACCAGAAGGTCACACAGGCCACAGAGCCTCCACACCGATGACCATCTGTCTGCCTGTCCGGGATGCCGGGGTGGACTCCCAGCAGCCCTGGGAACAGCCAGCAGACCTTCCACTCAAATTCCGACCAGACAAACCTCCCCCATTCACTTAGGGCGCTCTCTTTAAGAACAGAAATGTGAAATCACTGAGAGTCAGACGCCGAGAACACAAAGGCGGTTCTGGAGAGCCGGGAGACTGGGCTTGAGCTGGGGAGAGCTTCTCTCCAGGGACCAGGTGGTAGACCCCAGACCTCCAAGCATTCAGGCAGGAGGCCAGGAGAACAGGCCAGAATGAGAAGCCTGCCGCTGCGGGTAGGGCCGAACCCCCAGCTGCTGACCATCAGTGGAGCAGGAAGGCCACTTGGGCATATCAGAGCCCCATCCCAGGGCTGGGAGCAGGTGTTGTGGGGACAACTCCTGTCAAACCAGCCCACACCATCCCCTGATGGTGGGGACTTTATAAAGCCAGGTCCGAGGCACAGTGGTGTCAACGCAATTGTTAGTTGATCTGAAGTGTTTCCCCAGAGCCGTCACCTGCACTCATGCACCCAAAGGCAGCCCTTCCAGAAGCCCGTGCCCACAGGACTCGGGCACATGTGCATCAGCCCAGGGAGAAGCCTTCTTCGGGAGGGGAGCTGAAGGAGCAGAACGCCAGACCGAATCCTAGACGATTCAGCCAAGCATGGAGGCAGCGCCAGAGCAGAAGGGACAGGAACGCAAACGACGGGCGGGCAGCGGGCTCTGGCACCCCCAGACCTGCTTCCGTGCTGGGATCACACGGTGACTGTGATGGCAGAGCTGGGCCACCACAGACAAAACACCCAATCAGAGGTTGTGAGGCCCGTCTGACGGTCATCTTGGCCACCTGACACTCGACACCAGCAAACCTCCGTGCCATGCCCAGCACCTCAGCCCAGAGGGAAGAAGTCCTAACCGCAGGAGAGGGGGCCCTCCACACAGACCACACCGGCATCCACATGCGGACACTTACCGCTAAGAAACTAAAATGGGCAGACACCACAGCTGGTCTGCTTTCTGGAATGACCGCGGGCAGAGTTCACCATCTTCTTAGGTGTCTGAGGTCAGGCCCCACCCTGTCCCACCTTGAAGGGACAGGAGTAAGTCCAGGCGGGGCCAGTCCTCACTGCCCCACCTCTGGCCATCTGCTGGCTCTTACTTTAAAAGACACGGCGTCTCAGAACTCCAGGAGATTGACAAATCGGCACAAACTAGAGGGCGGTGAGTCAGGCAGGAAAGCCAGGAGGCCCCTCTGCTGCTCAGCCTGCCCCGGGGAACACACTACAGCAGTGCCCTCACGCAGGTGCATGCACTCAGGGCCCCGGGCTGTGGAGCCACACTGCTGCTGGCCTCGAGGCCCCAGGCCAGGCCTACACAGGCAGCTCACAGGCTGAGTCAGGCCAGGCAGTTATAGCCCGAGGGTGAGAAGCTGGAAGCTCCCCTTTGTGCCACTTTTCCCAAAGGATGGCCTCCTGGGAACCCACACACTCCAGTCAAGACTTTCCAAGGCTGCAAAACCGGCAGCTCCACGCAGAGCTGGGAGTGGTGAGCCAGGGCAGGAAGTGAGGCCAGAGGCAGCCCTTCTCCCAGGCACGGCCAGCCTGTCTCCACCCTAGAGCCTCAGTCTGTGCCCTTGTCCCCTCACCCAGGGCAGCGAGAAAGGCCAGTCAGGTCTTATCCAGGCCCCACCCAGCCTGCTGGAGGGGAAAGAAGTGGTGGGAGATGGGCCACTCCAGGTGGGAGCAGGGCGGGGCCTGGGCTCTCAGAGAGGGGCCCAAGGTGGGCCCCCAACTGCCCCCCACAGGGGGTCTGCAGAGGCCAGTGCAGTTCCCAGCCTGGTCCAGGACCCACAGGCCGACACCCCTGCCCTGGCCCAGGGGCCACATGGGCAGCAGGAGACCGAACCAAGCCCCACCTGGCCACCTGCCAGCCCATCCCCCGAGGGGCCCCTTGGGAGCTGCCACATCCCAGTCGTGCATTCTCAACGGGGCCCCTTGGTAGTTCGGGGTCTGTGGCCCTCCCAGGGCCACCACAGAGACTTGTCACAAGTAATATAACATGTGTGACACTAATGTCTCTGGGACAGGCCACTAGGAAGAATGCCTCAAAATGCTCCTCAGGGGGTGAGGACGGAAAAAGGGTGAAAAGTACACTCACAGCAACCCCCAGAGGGAGCACCCCAAACTCACAGGGACCCTTGGGCACAGGCAGCTGCCTTCAAGCCTCCACCCCGGAACAGCGCAAGCTCAGTTCTGGCCATGTGACCAGAACCCACGTTCTCCAGTAAAGTCACCTTCATCTAAAAACAGCCGCCCTCCTCCATGCCCACTCGGCGGCAGGCCGGGGCGCAGGGCCAAGCAGGCCTGGTGGTAAACAGCCCAGAGCGCCCAGGACGAGGCAGCAGACGATCGCCCTCCTCCCCACCTACCATCCTCGCCACCCACCGCAGGCAGCTCAGGGAGGAGACACCCCTTCCAGGATGCCAGCACAGGGCTCTTCACCCCTGCACCCTGCCAGGAGGGGGCTCCCAATCCCTCACCTGAGGCTCAGAGGGACCCAGCCAGCGAGCCCGAGCCCAGCCCACTAGCCCCGCCAGGACACTGGGACCCTGCACAATCCTGGAGAGCCGGGGTCCCCCAGCAGGAGGGTCGTCCTGGGGCCGCAGCTGACACGGGTGCCGAGGACCCCCGCTCCAGGCAGAGTCCCCGGAAGCGTTTCTGGAGAACTGACCTGGCCAGGAGAGGCAAACACTGCCAGTAATTCACTCATCCCAGGCAAAAAAGACGAGTGACCCAGACTTTCAGATGTTTTCAAGAGTCCCTAGAAAGGTGGAAAGTGAAAAAGGAAGACAAAGCACAGACACAGCCCCGGGTGGATTTGACACAATGTAAATAATCCAAGACTGCCCACCCACACGGTGAGTCCCCAAGAGCAGCCCCACAGGCCACCCTCTCTGATGAGGACGAGGGCCTTCCTTCCCTGCCGGCTGGGGCTTCTAGCGGGGCAGCATGCCTGCCCCGGGCCACGCCCAGAGGTGGTCAATAAATGGCTGTTTTGATGATAAGGAAGAGGAAAGAGACAGACCCAGATCTGAAAGTGGGTCAGGAGTAAGCCGGTGAAGCTTCCACAAGAGCAGGCCCCTCCCAGGCTCTGCCCAAGCCCCAGTGGCCCCCTGATCAGGGCTCAGGACAGCTGCCACCGGGACTCAGGGCTCACTGGCTCCTACCTCCCCCCTGGGAAGAACCCGAGACCCTGCTGATCTGCACTTTGTTCTCTACATGCAGGTCACTATAAATCGTTAACCCAGCACCAAAGGGGAAGTCTACATCGATACAAGAAAAAAAAAATCTCTCTTTCAGGCAAAAGAGGCTATCCTGCCTTCGCCTGGAAAAATACACCTTAATCCATTTTGCCGTGACCATTCTCTAAATCACGTCTGCCCACCCAACAGGCTGCCGCTCGCGTCCAGAGCTCTGAAAACAGTTTAAGAAGAGTCCGTAAAAACCGTCCCGCAGCACTTTCTGCTCTGAACCGGGTAGCTCACGGTGACCTTGGAATACCTCTGCTCCCGGTCAGGGCCTCAGTTTCCACCCCTATACAAGGAGGCGGGTGGACCAGCCGCCATCTACTGCTAGACCCTTAAA